ATTTTTACTGGCACAGTTTTTTTAGGGTCATGAGGCTATAAGAGTAATTGTCGAAATTTTGTTTTCTAGAAGTAAAGAGCTTACTTAGAAAAGAAGTTTGGTTACAACATTTTTTTTTTTTTTTTTTAAGACAAGCCACATAACATTTGCATTTAATGGACAGAAATGTTTTTTAAGTGTTTGGAAATTATTCTCAATGATTCCAGGAAATTTGAGTTCTTCACTTTGTCAAAACCTTTTTATTTTTAAATGCATAACTAGTTTAACTTGAATAAGCATCAGTGGTTTGGTTTTTTACTTACTTGTCTTTATCTGGTTTGTGTTTTGTCTTTTGTTATGATCATGCAGGTGGCCAGAGAACACAGACCAAAGGTGGACCAGTTATTCTAGCAGATGAAATAAAAAATCCTGCAATGGAAAAGTTAGAGCTTGTTAGAAAATGGAGTCTGAACACGTACAAGGTTTGTTTGTTTGTTTGTTTGTTAATGTTTCCACCCTAACTGGCTCTAAGAATTTTCATTTGTATGTTATTCAAATTAGTGTTTTGCAAATGTATGAATATATAGGAGAGAATGATGCCATCTAAACAAAAATACAGTTAGAAGATGAAGCATTTTATTAATCTTTGTTTGCATAGTTGTAGTTTAAATAGTAGCAAAAGAGTAAAAAAGTTACCAAAATGCTTATTAATTGATACATAATTGAAGAAGAAATATATTGCCTTAGAACACATTTAGCTGTAGAACTGCTGTAGATATGTCTGTCCCTACCTCCTCTTTTTGATACTTTATGGAACTGAATTGCAAAAGAGATACATTCATTATCCAGAGTTGGAATTCACTGATCTTATTATAATGACTGAGCATTAACTGTACATGTAGCATCAGTTTGCAAGTGAGTTGGACTTCAAAAGTTTATTGATGTTATTAGTTGCATTGCTTCAGAGTAATTGGTGACTCTTTTTCTTATGACCTCTGTGAAACAATAAGCAGATTATTTAATCTATAGAATTTTTGATGTATTACAAAGAGCTCAAACCCCAAATCCACTTTAGTACCTTTGAATCTTAACAGGGACAAGACAGTAGAATTTAAAGAAGTTAAGTGAATGAAAGCCCTAGCTGTTCAAGTTAGAGCACTGGCCATAAAACCCTATGTTTGTGATTTGTTTGTGGGTATAGTGGTTTGCAAATCAAGGATTGTCTGTTATATTTTTATACAGAGCACATGTCTCTTATGTGTCTTCTCAAGAGTAACACGGAAGTGAGTTTATTCTTTCAGTTAATACTTTTTTTAAAATTTTTTAAAATGTTTTGTTTATTTTTGAGAAAGAGAGCGTGCATACAAGGGAGAGGGGCAGAGAAAGAGGGAGACAGAATCCCAAGCAGGCGCCAGGCTCTGCACTATTAGCACAGAGCCTGAAGCGGGGCTCAAACTCACGAACTGCGAGATCATGACCTGAACCGAAGCTAGACACTCAACCGACTGCACCACCCAGGTGCCCTTCGTGGTTAATACTTTTAAAATATGATCTGAAATCATCTACAAAAGTACAGGTTCTCTTAAGATGATAAAAGTGCCCTGAAACATGCTCATGAATCTTTCTAAAAATTATTTAGTGTTTGTTAGAGAACAGAAATAGACAGAAATTAAAGGCAGAAATCATGCAGGAACTAAAGTCCAAGAAAGAGAAGATCAAAGTCATGGCTAGAATCAAGTTACTCAAAAGTAAAATGGATAGCAAGCACAGTCCTAAATCAACCAAATCAAAATCTTATCCTTGAAGGATTATTGAAATGACAGTGCATGCCCAGTATAGCTCACAATTTGGAATGAAAAGGTAAAAAAGCCACAAGAACAGAGTCAAAGAGACCCAATATGGTCATTACACTCTGAGGTTCTTTTAGTTGAGAGGCATATGCCAGCCCAGACACACTGGGCTATAAATTCCATTAAACTCACATGACTTAGGGGCACCTGGGTGGCTCAGTCGGTTGAACGTCCCACTCTTGATTTCTGCTCAGGTCACGATCCCATGGTTCAAGAGATTGAACTCTGTATTGGGCTCTGCGCTGACAGTTTATTTAAGTTTAAATACACTTAAAAATTTTTTTAAATAAAAAGAATAATCGTATAAGTTAGAACTTTCTTTTTCTCTTCTATTTATTTTTGAGAGAGAGAGAGCACAAGTGGGAGAAGAGCAGAGAGGGAGACACAGAACCCGAAACAGGCTCCAGGCTCTGAGCTGTCAGCGCAGAGAACAGTGCGGGGCTCAAACTCAACAGACCATGAGATCATGACCTGAGCCGAAGTCGGACGCTTTACTGACTAAGCCACTCAGGTTCCCCAATTTTTTTTTAAAGTAAGCTGTAGGCCCAACATGGGGCTTGAACTCAGGACCCCAAGATCAAGAGTCTCATGCTCTACTGACTAAGCCAGCCAGGCACCCCTCTCTTCTGATTGACGCTGCAATATCCCAACTAAGCTTTTTTTTTTTTTTTTATGTTTTTTATGTATTTTGAGAAAGAGAGAGCATGCATGTACTGGAGCGGAGGAGAGGCAGAAGGAGAGGCAGAGAGAGAATCCCAAGCAGACTCTGCACTGTCAGTACAGAGCCCAACCTAGGAGTCAAACCCACAAACCGTGAGATCATGACCTGAGCCAAAACCAAAAGTCAGGTGCTTAACTGACTGAGTCACCCAGGTACCCCTCCTGATTAAGCTTTGATGAAAAAAAATTCACTTAAAAACTGAAAATCTTTTCGGTTTTTTCAGTTTTCAGTTAAAAACTCCTTCATTTAGTATTATGCTATGTGTGCAACATTTTAAAGGCTGGTCAGTTTCATTAACATAAACTTTTAAAAAGGCTGAATGTGGTATGTCAATATAAGAGGTAAATATGGAGTCTTAATGATTCAACTCAGATTAGTGTAGAAGTAAAAGACAAAACAAGGGGGACAGATAGTAAACATATAGGAAAACAAGATAAAGAGCAAGGGAACCGTGAACTAAAGGACGCAAGAGAGGAAGGCTCAAATGAACAAAAATCTTAAATTTTGTAATTTGTAACTACTAGAACTTCGTTCAGAAATAGGACCTGTATTTTTTTTTTTAAGCTTGTCATGTTTTAATTTAATTTTTTTAAGTAACCTCTACAGCCAACGTGGGGCTTGAGCTCATGATACCAAGATGAAGAGTTCCATTCTCTACCAACTGAGCCAGCCAGGCACCGCTAAGGCCTGTATTCTTTAGGTTTCAAAATGTGTGAATATAGAATGTTCCTATTTAGAGGCAAATTTCATGAATAAATGAACAAAGGAATGGCTGAATAAATAAGTTTAATGAATAAATGAAACCCAGTCTGGTACGAAAGGTGAATAAGTTAAATGAAAGGGAGCAAAAAGAGGAATTCCAAGCAGCAGGCAAATATAGCCTCATGAACAAAGTTGTAGACATGTGAGAAAGCATGGTTTGGGAAATCTCTGGATAACTGGTATCACTGGATCCTTGAGTGGGAGAGAAGAGCAGGAGGAGATAAACTTGGGAAGGCAGATGGGTCTGATTCATGCCATTCTAAAGACAGTGGGGATCAACTGAGCAATTTTAAGCAAGAGGGAACCATATTACACATCAAGCAGAGTAGAATATGCAGTGTAAGAGATTTTGTCAAGAAGCTATTAGAGTAGGGGCGCCTGGGTGGCTCAGTCGGTTATGTGTCTGCTCTTGGTGTCAGCTCTGGTTATGATCTCACAGTTTGTGAGTTCGAGCCCCACGTCAGACTCTGCGCTGACAGCAAAGCCTGCTTGGTACTCTCTCTCCCTCTCTCTCTGTGCCCCTCCCCCCTCAAAATAGATAAACTTTAATTTTTTTTTAGTGTTTGTTGATTTTTGAGAGAGAATGTGAGCCAGGGGAGGGGCAGAGAGAGAGAGGGAGACTGAGGATCCGAAGTGGGCTCAGCACTGACATCACAGAGCCCAATGCAGGGCTCGAACTCACGAACTGTGAGATCATGACCTGAGCCAAAGTCAGACACTTAACCGACTGAGCCACCCAGGCACCCCTAAATAAACTTTAATTTTAAAAAAGAAGCTGTTACAGTAATGTGAGAGAGTAATTAAGACATGGACTATGGCTGTGAAGACTGGAACGGAGAAAAGGGGTAAAGTCAAACAATTTTAAGGAGGCAGAATCTACTTAATGACAAAGAAGATTTTAGTTTTGTATTTTTTTATTTTTAGAGAAAGAGAGCACGAGCAGAGAGGGGCAAAGGGAGAGAGAGAATCCCAAGCAGGCTCCATGCTCAGCACAGCGCCTGACACGGGGCTCGATCCCACGACCCGGGGATCATGACCTGAGCTGAAATCAAAAGTTGGACGCTCAACCAACTGAGCCACCCAGGTGCCTCTGTAGAAGATTTCAGACCGTATTTTAAAAGTATTAACTGAAAGAATAAATTCACTTCTGTGTTACTCTTGAGAAGACGCATAAGAGACGTGTGCTCTGTATAAAAATACAGGCTATTCCTGATTTGCAAACCACTACAGCCACAAACAGTTCACAAATAGAGTGTTATGGCCAGTGCTCTAAGTTGAGCAGCTAGAGCTTTCATCCACTTAACTCTTCTTTAAATTCTACTGTCTTGGCCCTGTTAAGATTTGAAGGTACTAAGTGGATTTGGGGCTTGAGCTATTTGTAATACATTAATCACCGAAAGGCTTTCCGTCAACAAGAATATTTAGCACTTCCTTTATTGGTTGTTAATTTGGGCTCTAAGACCAGGCTGGTGGTTTAAACCCAATCTATAATGGGAACAAATGTAAGTTTAGGCCCTGAATATAAGTATTCTTAAGTATTATTTTAATCTACCTGATTTTATTCATAAAATTTGAATCCAAAGTTTATTTATGTTCTTATTCTCATCTGCAGGAATAGTAGTGAATAGTGAACTCTGGTTTATCCCTTTTGTTTTTGTATTTTCCTAGTATAGAATAGAGTATTTTTAGTGCTTGCTTCAGCAGCACATATACTAAAAAATTGGAACGATGCAGAGATTAGCATGGCCCCTGTGCAAGGATGACACACAAATTTGTGAAGCATTCCATATTTCTGGGGATGGGTGAAATAGGTGAAGGGGATTAAGAGTACACTTATCTTGATGAGCACTGAGTAATATGGAAGTGTTGAATCACTGTATTGTACACCTGAAACTAACGTTAACACCGTATGTTAACTGTATTAGAATTAAAATAAAATAAATCTTACTTTAGGGGCGCCTGGGTGACTCCGTTGGTTAAAAGTCTGACTCTTGATTTTGGCGCAGGTCATGATCTCACAGTTTATGGGATCAAGCCCTACATCGGGCTGACAGCGTGGAGCCTGCTTGGGAGTCTCTCTCTCTGCCCCTCCCCCTGCCAAATAAAGAAATAAACTTAAAAAAAAAAAGAATTAAAAAATAAATTTTAACTTACTATTATTTTTTTAAAGATTTTATTTTTAACTAATCTCTACACCTAATGTGGGGCTCGAACTCACAGCCCTGAGATCAAGAGTTGCACATTCTACCAAAAGAGCCAGATGCCCCCCCAAGATAAAATAAAGGTAAAAAAAATTTCTTTTAAAGAATAGACTAGGGGCACCTGCCTGGCTCAGTCAGTGGATGAGCCAGCATGCAGTTCTTAATCTCAGGGTTGTAAGTTTGAGCCCTATGTTGGGTGTAGAGATTTTTTACTTAAAAATTAAAAAATCTTAAAAAAGAAAAGAATAGAGTACTTTTAGAAGTCCATCTTATTATTATTTTTATTTATTTAAGAATAATCTCGGTTTCAGCATTCAGAGCTGTTTGGCATGTTTCACAAACATTAATAAATACTTTTTTTAAATGTTTAAGAATTTGCCATCAGTATTCACACCTCAAATTAATCTTTGTTGCCTTTAAGCCAGTATCTTTTAAACTTTCATTCCTGTTTTTCTTGTCATATTGCCTTATTCGTTTACTGCTTAACCTATTTCCCCTGTTCAGTTTCTAGTATTTTCTTTTATGGTCCCTACTTCCCTATCCTTCACCATTAATAACTCTTATAGTGTCTGTCAGCTTATACCATGAAATTATTCTTTTGATAGTATTTAAGTGTTTGTATTCACTTTTTGGTTTTACAGAAAAAGCTCTTGGTGCTATTTAAATACTCAGAGTACACAGTGACTATCTTGTAAATTCACAACCTTATGACAGTGATTCACAGTATTTTGTATACTGTTTATCACTTTATTATATTCACCCTCCCCCAAATAGGAGATCTACATAGAGCAGTAATTTACTTTTGCTTCTTTCTGTCCCTTTAATCTTGCTCCATTTGTCTCATTATCTTAATGGATTCTTAATTTATAAGTATGGAAAACTGAATGGGACTGCCAGCTCATTGTAATTCATCTGCATTTTCAGGAATGTAGGCTATCTGAAGTACTCTCACTTCCAGGTTACTTAGATTGTCCTTAAGGTTGTATGTTATCCATATTAAAATACAGGGTTGGAAAGTTCCATTTCAACACTTGTTTCCAGTGTCAAGATTTAACATGCTTCATAATCACTGTCACCTTATGCTTCTTACTGCCCTGGCTTCCTGGAAACAAAAAACATTCCCTCATTAAACCTTTGACCCTTCTGTCTGCTTATAGCTGTTATTTCTGAGGAAAAATGGCCACTCAGACAACAGTAGACATTTCTTTCATTTTGTCCAGTCTACCAAGCTTCTTCAATGAATTCTGGCTTCTTGACTTTGAACAGACTGTTTTATCTGGGTTGCTGTGGAAGGCACCACATGCTTTGGCTTTCAAATGGAGTAAATGTGTGTGATGATATTGCACAGGGAAATAAATCTGTTTTGTGTGGGTGAATGCAATGGTATATCTCCTTTATCTCGTTACCATTTCAGGTAGTATTTCTTGCTGATGTTTCCCTCATAAAGATGACAAGTCTGCAGTTAAGCTTTTCTCTGGATATGATTTTAATCTCCTGAGTGTGTGTTTGTACGTTTTCCTTAGAAATAGTTTTATCTCTCTTCTGTGGGTTCGACCTCTCAGCTTTCCTATCACTTTCCGTATAATTTCTCTACCTTAAAAAAAAAAAAAAAA